TCTTTACCTCTCCCCCATCATAACTTATAGAGTTATATAATGACTCTTCTCTGGTCAGGGATTCGTCTTTCCCGCCCTTAATAGGGAATTGCCGCATCATATGCAGGCTCTTTCAACCCAGCTGCGCCGCACACTCCGCTGAACAAACTTTTGCGTCTCCCCCTCTCCCACCGGGCAACCCCCTTTGCTTTTAAGAATACAGGAAACTGAAGACAGGGGGGATTTTGGTTGAGGGGCAAGAAAAAGGAAAAGGAAAACCGAAAAGAAACGAAATCAGCGTCGATGTTTATTTCTCTAGAACTATAATTGCAATAATGCTGATCTTACTTCACTCCGGTGTCTGAGCATAATGTTGTCTTCTATGTGTAAATGTGAGTTGGTGTATGTTACAATGATGGTCTGTTAGAAATCAACCTATGTACATACGTGTAATACTTTGAGTATTCACTGGCCAAAGATATTTTCATCCTGGGCCATTAATGCAGCTTCAATAGGGTAAATCCAGGAGCGCAACAAACGCGCGGCAAAATCGGTTAATTTTCTATAAATTGGAGATGAACAATGACTTGAACGGCTAAACTATGTTGGGCATATGTTGTCCGGGCGCCACGCTCCGCCGCACGTGATTAGTTTATATATCATTAGATGGCCCGCCAATGGAAGTATCAGCCATCCCACAAATTAGATCCGATGTCATCAAATGAATTCTAGCATGAAACTACTAACTTCCAATCATACGACAGCTAAATTTTGAAAAAAATGGTCTACAAACGTATGAATCCCAATGCAGTTCAGAGAAATACACGTGCCAGCCATTCATTGGAGACCCATTCCTCTCAACGCCCGTAAACCTTGCTGGCATTGCTTGCTCTTTGAACAACTACCAGTCAACTCGGAGAACCTGCAATTGGTAGAATTTGCCAAAAAAAAAAAAAAAAAAAAAAAAAAAAATTTCTCTCATCAATCTGCACAAACAAACCCTTGTTGAATTAAACCGTCTCGGGTGCACATTACTTGGAGCCGACCAAAACCAGCGATGGTCAATTCTCTTCACTCCGCTCAAAATCATTTTTCTCACTCCTAGCAGACGTCCGTACTAAGGGCTATTTGCTCATGGATGAAGAAACATTGTGTCTAACCAGTGTGTGTGCAACATGCAAGTTTCTTTCAACTGGTAAGGGAATCTTCACTTCAACGTTTTCCTATTGGTCCCACGGTAACAGCGGAAACCAGGCAAACTTAATTCCTCCCTGAAACCCACCTGATTAGGAGGGGAACACGCTTCTCATCCACAGCCCTTTTGTGGCCCAATCCTTATAATCAGTGCCTGTGAGCGGCGCTGCAGGGAGAAGTTTCTGCGGGGTTGCCGTTAATAATTCTCTGCGCTCCGATAGAGAGTATACGAACTTCTCCCTCATTTTTGCCATTCACCATTTCTTTACAGTTGTTGTTTGCAACGTCATTTACGCAAGAATCGGAGTCTTGAGGTAGAGTTGGCTTTCAGACACTTCCTTGCTACGTCAAAAAGACAGGTCTTGATTATCAAATAAGAGGGGTATCCCTGACTAAGGAAGCAGGGGGAAACCAAAGCGTACGCGTTTGAACAGGTCAAAGAGTGGATTGATCTCCCATGTTTACCTATCTTTGATGCTCTTTATTATTTTTAATTCTTTGAAGTCATCGTTCAATCTTGACAAAAAGCAAGGCTTAAGAAAAACTTCACATCAAGTATCTATATTCAAAAATTACCAGGAACCTCGACATCAGCAATCATGGTTCATCTCGCAGCAATCCGAAGGGAATCAGTTGTCCTTCCGACTAGACCGATTCAGCGTATCGAAACCATTCCCCTTGAGGAGCCTCAGGAACATGACTTCTTCTCCAGCGTCTATGGCTCTCGGTTCGCGGCAGAGGACTTGCCTACACTCGAGATGCCGGAGAAAGAAATGCCCAAGGAGGTGGCGTATAGAATGATCAAGGACGAGTTGAGCCTGGACGGGAATCCTATGTTGAAGTACGTTCTGAGGTCCCTAACCTGTAGGCTACAACTACCTAGTCGCGCCGTCTCAGGCAATGGTTACTTCAATGTTAATTTTCAATTTTCCACCCTCAAAAATAGCTAACTTGGGTGATTATAGCTTGGCGAGTTTTGTTACCACATACATGGTAAGCGGCTAAAACAACGTTTACACCGGTTATACACAACTGCTGAACTGGCTGCTTGGTAGCTGTGGTTTTGCTATGTAACTAGTTATACTAATTTCTTGGCGCATAAATCTAGGAGGAGGAAGCCGAAAAACTCATGTCTGAATCGTTCAGCAAGAACTTCATTGACTACGAGGAATATCCACAGTCTGCAGAGATTCAGAACCGCTGCGTCAACATGATTGCTCGCATGTTCAATGCTCCTGGCGAAGATTCGGAAGAACATGCCATGGGAACCTCGTGCGTAGGTTCTTCCGAAGCCATCATGCTGGGGACGCTCGCTATGAAAAGGCGCTGGCAAAATAAAAGAAAGGCAGAAGGAAAAGATTGTTCCAATCCCAACATTATTATGAGCAGCGCTGTTCAGGTATGTTGGGAAAAGGCAGCTAGATATTTTGAAATTGAGGAGAAATTTGTCTACTGCACCAGTGATAGATATGTTATTGATCCAGAAGAGGCTGTTAATCTCGTGGATGAGAATACCATTGGTATTTGTGCAATTTTAGGCACCACATACACTGGCCAGTATGAAGATGTGCAGAGGATTAACGATCTTCTTGTCGAACGTGGAATCGATTGTCCCATCCATGTCGACGCAGCAAGCGGTGGATTTGTGGCACCCTTTGTAAACCCGAATTTGGAATGGGATTTCAGACTTGAGAAGGTTGTTTCTATAAATGTCTCTGGACACAAATATGGACTCGTATGTACATTATAAAATCATACACGTCACTCTATCATGCTAATCCAATCTCAGGTATACCCGGGTGTTGGCTGGATTGTTTGGCGTTCTCCGGAATATCTCCCCAAGGAGCTAGTTTTCAACATTAACTATCTTGGGGCCGAACAAACCAGCTTTACCCTCAACTTCTCCAAGGGCGCATCGCAAGTTATCGGCCAATATTATCAAATGATCCGCCTTGGGAAACGCGGCTACCGCAATATAATGATCAATCTCACGCGCACCGCGGACTATCTCTCCTCAGTGCTGAAAGAATTAGGTTTCATCATCATGAGCGACGGGAGTGGCCATGGTCTACCTCTTGTAGCCTTCCATCTATCTTCTGACCAGGGCTATGAGTTTGATGAGTTTGCGCTGGCTCACCAGTTGCGGGAACGCGGCTGGGTCGTTCCTGCATATACCATGGCCCCGCATAGTGAGCAGTTGAAACTCATGCGTATTGTGGTTCGAGAAGACTTTAGCAGAAGTCGTTGCGATTTGTTGCTGGCTGATATCAAACTTGCATTGGAGCAGCTGAGTGAGATGGACCGAAAAGCTATGGAGAAATATCAACAGTATGTAACCGTTTCTTTCTTTCTTTTCTTTTCTTTTCTTTTATTTATTTATTTATTTTGTTTTTGATTGTTTGCGAAAGTTTTACATTGCTGATCTTTTAACTACCCAGCCATATCCGCCAACACGTTTCCAACGTCGGCAAGGCAACTCATAATCACCCCCATTACCAGGATGAAGACCACTCCCTACAAGGAAAGTCAGGGAAAACTCACGCTATCTGCTAAAACATGGATATGGCCACAATTTTGGTGCAAACATCGTCATGGGCACTTACATGCTACCGCCGTGGCATTCATAGTCTCATGACAAACCTTCTCCGCTTTGATTTCAATTTTTGGCTGTGCCCATTGTTAGTTTAAGACCCTGATAGATGCGCGGCCAGACAAGTCGAGCTTCTTGATGCAGTGGTTGGTTTAGCATGTGGGGTGACTATTTATTTTGGAGGACATGGTCACATAAAGTAGATCACGAGTGCGGTCCATTGGATGGAGGGGAGTTTAACGGCCTATATCATATTGCTAGGAGCAGAATATTATGACGTGCCACATGCCTCCTTTTATTTCCTTTATAAGCAAGCCGGTGGTTGCTGCATGGTGATGATTCATCAAACTCGCGGAATTCGACTCCATGCATTTGTCGTTAAGATGGGTCTCTACATAAACTTGACTGGAAATGATGACATATGTGCAGAAATTATCGAGTCCCCAATGTTTCGAATTGTTTCGAATCGAGTTTCTACTTGTTAACATCTATCTCGGCATGACACTATAGATGCCACCGTTTCATAAAGATGACCCGCATATAATAAATAACTAGGTAACTATGAATTATTGAAGAAGTTTTTAAGATGATTAAAAATCGGAAAACATCTGGATGGACCTAGATTAATTCATTTTCTAACGTCGTTTGCGCAAATATACAGGTATGGAGGCCCTTCTTTTCGGTTTGCTATAGTTATTGATAAACGCGCAGCTAGTTACTAGACTCAAATGAGTTCATGCGCCGTGTCTTTCCCCTCCCCGCAAAGAAATCTCACATTGTCAGGGGGGCGAGCGGGGGAAGGGAACAAGGAAAAGGTTCACCGGTAAATTTGGCTTTTAACTACATATGTCATCGCTTGATAGGAATTTGTTGACTGTCGAAGAGAAAGCTACCCACAACAGATATCCAGGGATAATTACTGAACTATATACCTACCTCCGAGGTGTTTAACTAGAGGAACAATTTCATGCATTTTCCCTTTTTAGTTGCAGGTAACCATGTTTCCATACCCCAGTCTTCCGTCTTCAACCACAGAAGTGGTAAAACATTAACCTCGCC